CACACACACACACACACACACACACACACACACACACACACACACACTGCTGCTTCCTGTCATCAGTGAGATGTAGAGCAGGGAATCCTACCTTCCTCATAGTGCGCCCAGACTCACAGGTTCCCAGCCCTGGGGACAGCCAGTTTCCATGTGGGGGCCCAGAGCACGGCCAGGTGTCCTTTCCCCAAGCGCTGCCCGCAGTCAGGCCCACCACTGTCAGTCTAAGGGTGCTGGCGAAGTGTGAGTGACCGAGAAGGGTGAAGGGGTGAAGCCATCCTCTCTCTCTAGGCACTGTCCCCCTCACCCCACGAGCAGCAGTCATAGCTCCTTAGGAGACTCCAAAAGTCTAGAAAGGAGCTGGATGGGTGGAAACGATGTTCCGCAGTGACCCAACAGAGAACAGGCTTTTGTCGAGGAAGGCGGGGAAGCAGGTTGACACCTTTCTAGGCACATCGGCACACTCATCCCACCTGTGGACTGGAGCAGGCACCCTAAATATATATATTTATATATATATATATTTATATATATATAAATATATATATATATATATGCCCTTGCCCACGCTGGTAAGTATCTACACGCACACACACACACACACACACACACACCATCAATGGCTCACTGTCAACGGTGCTGGCACGCTTTCTACAGCCGTGTCAGCCTCCTGAGGCCACTCTGACCAAAAGTCAGTGGCCTCTGGCATGAAGGTAATTCTTACGGGGAATGAGACCTCCCCAGGCTCATGTCTTAGGGGCTTGGATCCCGGGAGATGGGAAGTAGTAGATGCTTTAGGAGAGGGAACCTAGCTGAAGGAAGTGGGTACCTGGGGGTAGGCCCTTGGGAATGTCTTATCCCTGGCTGTCCCCTCCTCCTCCTCTCTCACCCCTTTCTCTCTCTCCCCTTCCTGACTGTCACAAGGTCAAGAACCTCCTCCTCCACATACTCTCACTGCCATAATGTTCCATCCAAGCACACGGGACCAAGCCACTAACGACTGTACTCTCTGAGACCAGGAGCCAAACCGTGTCTTTCCTCTCTTGCACTGTGTGCCGGACATTCTGTCAAGTAACAGAACAAAAACAAAAAAACCCTAGCTAATACAGAGGGAGAGAAGAAAAGGGGAGAGGAGAAGCCGTGCCCAGTGCAGAAATGCCCGGGGAAGGTGGCTAACATTGTCTGTCAGTGTCACCCGCACTGGTGTTCGATGGGCAGAGGAAGGGACTTAGGACCGTCATCTTGCTTGTTTCCACCCTGCACTGCAGATGTGACTATAGAAAGCTGCCTGTCCCCTCTTCCCCCCACCTGTCTGTCACAGGTCACCCTTAGAGCTACTGCAGACTTCTGTCAACAAGGAAAGGGGTTCCGCAGTTGTGCCAGAGTCTGCTCACACAAAATCCCATTCATGAACACTGATTGCGGCTACTCGAGGGCCTGGGACCCAGGAGAGGAGGCAGGAGATCCAGCTGTGCAACATTTGCCATTTCCGGGACCCCCGAGAGCACACAAGCTCCTGCTCACATCCAGCGAGCTGGTGTGACAGACTCAAGTGGCCTCCCTACCAGCCTTTCCTCGGGAACCCTGTTCTCCATGTTTGCGCTCCCTGGGGACTATCTGGCCTGCTAACTCCTGGCTACATGCAAATGAGAATCAAAAGGCCAGCTGCCTCTTGGGGAAGTAAGTGGCTTGAGAGCTGTCTGGATATGCAATGTCCTAGGAGGGGGCCAGCGTCCTGTAATCTGCAGGAGCCCGCTCCCCACAGAGACAAGAGATGTACTCCTCATGACCTGGGTCTCTGAGTCCTCCTCAGTATCCCCTCCACCCCCACCATCAAGGGTTCTATAATCACATCGTATTTCAAGACAACGGGGAGATGCTGGTCCAAAGGTCATTTGTCTCCCCTTCTTTGAGTCCAGCTGTTGCCTTGGGCCTCAGTATAACAATGTGTCACAGGCCATAGCCTGGATGCCCCTGGCTGTGGGAACACATTTGCCAGACCTCAGCTCCCACCCGGGACTTCCCTGTGCCCACTACATATGATACACTCTGCTTGGATGGCAAGTACAACTGTCCCTCACCTCCCCGGATCCTTTTCCAAAACCAGCAGGCAACAAGAAAATTCACATTATTGGCAAGGAAGAAAAGGTTGCAAGGGGGCTGGTTACGGCATGAAAAATGCACGGGCTGTTTGAGCATTCCACCCTGATCAAAACTGCAAAGCCTTGTGGTACTTTCTCTCCCCGAGGCCTGAATGGCGTCACCAATTTTTACTTTAAGAAAGAAAAGATCCAATTAATGTTAGCACCTCCCGGGACACAGGGCAAAACTGAAGATTTCTCCCGTCTGCTTATTTATGTGATTTTAAAAAATTTGTCCCTTTCAGGAAATTGACTTCAGGGTAAAGGCAAAGACTTGAGAATTCAGCCAAAATACACGCACCTCCTGTGGCACGGACGACTCCAAGGACACGCCTGGCTGCCGCTGCTCCGCTCCAGGGCCTGGATGTTCCTCTCGGTCACTCAGAGGACCCCTCCGGCTGCGGGGACCCATGCCCACACCTCAAGCCAGGAAGCTTGGGAGCACCCACGTGGTCAGCGGGCCCCGGGCCCGGGAAAGTTCTCCGTCCCCGTGTGTCCTCCTCACACAGGCAGGAGCGGAACAATGCCATCCCTCCCGGCTGAGGGCTACGGGAGATGCTGTTTGTCGGGAGACAGGCTGCTATGGCAACT